TTTGGGGAAAAACCCCCCAAAAAAAAAAAAAAAAAAAAGAACTGTTCGGCCACCCAAAGCACCATGGAACAAATACCAGTCTAGCTGCAGCCCACACTCCCTACCCCAAGGCAAGACACTAGGTCAGTGTATCCACTATCAATCCACCAGTCAGGCAAAGAAAACCATCAGCAACACTGTAAGTCAGGGCTTCTTCCTGGAGTTGGATCTTAGCCTGACCTGCACCAATATTCTCACCTGATGAGCATACCTACAGATACTCAGGTACCAGGCCTCCAAGTCTGTGGCTTTACCTGCCATGTCCAGCACAGCCAGCCAGCAAGCTGACCATGGCTTTGTGCGCTAACCCTGGCTGCCACAGCCCCCTGCGAGCAGCATGCTTCCTCCCTGGCCCTCAGCACCTTGCTGCAGCTTCATCTTGGCTGACAGGCAGGCCAGACCTCCCACTGTACCCCTCTGCCCAGCCACACTACCAATCAAACAGGAAGAAAGCCTCCATGACTACAGAGGCCATCTAATTCAGGGTATGTGTACCGTAAAGGCCACTGCCAGCAGCCTAGTGGTTATGGGAGCCACATGGCTGACCACAGTTTGAATCTCGGGGTGTGTGTGTGTGTTGGCCCATAATCCCAATGTAACAGAGAACTGGAGGAGAAAAGGGACTGTGGCCTGACCACGCCCTATTGGGGGGAACTTCTCCCTCCCTCTCTCTGGCAAGGGCAACCGTCCTCTGGCAATAAAAAAAAAAGGGAGGAAAAAAAGAGCAAAAACTGCCACTGCTAAATGGAGCAGACCCAGCCTAAGGAGAAACAAACTTCCTGTCCACTAGTTAACAGAAGCGGCAGCTTCTCCCTTCTCTGGCAAGAGCGGAAGGGGCAGGACTCTCACTTTGCCACTCTTCTGTTTATCTGCGGTCTACAATACAAGGCACGTGGAGGTAATTAGCACTAATAACTGATACCCAATGCCCCAAAGTTGTCACTGGAGACTATCTTCCAGGAATTTTTCCCTAGATAATGAGTTTATTTGGTAATGTGTCTCCCAAGCAGGTCCTGAAAGTAGGATCTACTGTTGGCTTCTAGCCAGGAACACTGGCAATATGGTTTGGTTTTAAATGAAATCTGGAACTGGGCGGTATTTCTTGCCCTCCCCTAGGAATATGAACGTCGAGACCCCGGGACAATTCACATCCTTTAAGTTCGAGGCTCCTTCCGTTCTTCCCTGCCTCCAGGGGCGTCACAAGGGGATCTGGAATCTGAGAGATACGCAGTGTGAAGTGAGTTGAGGGCTCCGGGACCACTCGGTCCGCGCTTCCAGCAGCTCTCAACTTTCCATTCTTAAAGTGGGTGTCACGTCCGACCCAGGACAGTCGGACCTCAGGGGCCGGGCGGGGCAGCTCACCTCTCGCGCGGAGCGCAGCTGCTGGCGCAGCGCGTCCTTGCAGCCATAGGGGCCGCCGGAGTCCGCGCTGCGGGGCTGGAAGTGCGCCTCCACGCGCGTGGCGCCGCGGTAAGCGCCCTGGTAGAAGGCGGGCCAGCCAAGTTCTAGCAGCGGCGGGTCCAAGTCCGACTGCTCCGGGAAGTAGGTGCCGGATGAGCAGTCCTGAGATGAGCCGAAGGAGTCCTCGGCGGCGGCCGCGCCGTCGGCTCCCGGCCGCTCCGCCGAGCGCAGGATGGCGCGCACCTCGTCCGAGTTCAGGAAGCGTCCCATGCGCTCGCGTCGCAGGAAGGCAGCGAAGGCAGAGGGGCCGCCCCCAGCCCCTCCAGCGCCAGACGCTGCGCCTCGCTAAACAGCTCGGCCGGGTTGGGCGGCCCGCACGGCGACAAGCAGGCGGCGGGGAGCTCATCTGGGCCCTCAAATAACATAGCCATGGCGACGCCGGGACAGGACCACGATTCGGCCAGAACCAGTGTGCAGACCCTCTTTATAGGCACCTTTGAATCAAACCGGCCCGCGCCATTGGCTCCACCGCTCCGCCCCGGCTCTCCCATTGGCTACTTTCTTCTAACGGGGGGGCGGAGCGCACGCCTCCACGGCCCCGCCCACTGTGCCCCAGGCCCTAGAGCAGGCACCTTTATCTATCCTTGCTCTCGCTGCAGAGTTCATAAGTAGAATTTAAATGTGGCTACTCGGTACCTTCCCCGCCATACCTGCCCCGGCTCTGTGAGGAATAGAACTTTACTTGGTCAGGTGAAGAGAGAAGCCGAGCCCAAACGGCTGTGCGGCCTGGGGCGGCGACGCAGTCAGCGGAGGCCTAACAGGCCTGAGAGCCCGGCGCCTGGCCATCCCAGAGCGCCCCCTGCTGGCCGCTCCATCGCACAGCTCTACAGGGTCCAAGGCTGTTGGGCTAGGCCTGGAAGGAGAGTGGACGCTTGCTCCGACATGCTGACCCCTGTGCTCCAGAGGCTGTGGCCTCATACCCTCATGTCGCCTCTTGTGCCTTGCATTTAATCACTTATTTGTTTGTTCAAAAACTCTGGTTCTTCAAGACAGCCACTTCTTCTATCGCACCCTCAGCCTTTTTTTTCTCTCACTTCATCCGTTTGTTGTTGTTGTTGTTGTTTTTGCCTGGCAAAACCCCAACCCTTTCCACCTACTTGCCACCTGCACCTGGGCAGCCACACTGCTGGAGAAAATAAACCATAACCATGCTTGTTGACTGCCGGTGCTTCAAATTCATGATCCAACGGTGCCCTAAAGGCTGCTGGTGAGTCTACATTTCCTACACTCACTCTGCCTTTTCCTCTGCCCTTCCCACCCAGCGACAGATGCTTAGCCCATTTCACGGAAACAGAAGCAGCCAGAATAGATCGTTCACTGCCCCACCTCCCTGCCTGCATCTTTCCCCACAGGCGGGGCCTTTTCAGGGAATGCCTCAGCCTATCCAACACCCACCCTTCCACCTGTACACCAGCTTCAGCCTGCATATGACTAACCCCCGTGTCTCCAGCAAGGCTCTCCTGTCTCCTGGATCAATTCATCGTCACTGATTCATTGCTATCAGCATACAAGCAGCGGAAATGCTTTTCCTCTTGAAACAACCCTCTTGATCCTGCTATGCCTCTAGAGCTAACCCCCCTCCACTCATTTCTCTGCTCACTTTTGCAGCATAAAATCTCAAACGAGTTATCTCTACTTGCTGTCTCCATCCAGTTGTCTCTGGAACTTTCTCTCATCAGGGTAATGCCTGCACTGGTCTATGGAAACCTCTTGTCAGGGTCACTATGATCTCCACAGTGCAAAATCCAACCGTCTATTTTCAGAACTCATCTTCTTTGTGTAAACGGGAGAGCATATGTACCACAGTAAAATGCTTCGTAAATGTGAGAGATTAGTTAACAGCCAGTAAATTTTGCAAATGGATAAATGCCCACCACTGTGAACCCACCTCTTTCTCACCCCATCCTTCCTCTATCCCTAGCATGTTTATGAAAATTTTCAAACCCAAGAGTGTATCTCTGCTCTGGCAACCAGAGCCCAGGAAGCTGTAAAAGGACACCCCTTCCAACCCCTTTCCCCTTTTTTTTTTTTTAAGAATTTTTATTTATTTAATTTTTATTTGTTATTATTTTTTTCATTTGACCACGGAGAGAGAGAGAAAGAAAGAAAGTGAAAGTAAGAAAGCAAGCTGCCAGGTCCAGGACTTGAAACATAGTCACTCATGTGGGAGTCCAGCCCTTTAACCACCATGCGAACTGCCAGCCCTCCTTCCATCCTCTTTCATGGCATCAACTCCTGCATGTGACAAGGGCAAGGACTATGATCTGGGGCTGTACAGCTACCTGAATTGTCCATGCCTCTACTTCCCGAGATAAAATACAAGAACCAGACCTTACCTGCTGCAGTAAGATGAGGTACTGAATGGCATTGTACTTCTCCACTATAAGCTAAAGAGCAGGATGGGGTGGAAAAGGGGAATGGGACAGGACAAGTCAGTGCATTCCAAGTAACGATGTACAAATACATACATCATCAGGCAAACCTTAGAAAATGTAGGGAATATGGACTAGCAAGTGAAGTAGTAGTTAAGGTACTGGACTCCCATGTGGCTAGCCACAGTTTAAGTCAGACCTAGCAGCTTGAAATTCATGCTGAGCATGTGTGTGTTCATGCCCAAAATCCTGAGAGAATAGAAGAGAAGGGATTGCAGCATGGCTATCTCCCCAGGGGGGGATTTCTCACTTTCTCTCTGTCTCTTCAGTGAACACACATACCCTATAGCAAAAATCTCTAAAAACAAAAAAGTGTAGGAACATGTTCATTTCAAGTGAAATAGCTGATAGAATGACAGCCACTTTCCAATCACTCTTTTCTTGATTCATCAGTTTTCTCCATCTCCCAGTCTAGAAAGACATCTGCTCCGTGGCTGAGTCCCCAGAGCTCCCTTTCCTCTGAGGGTCTTCCAGGAGACCCCTATGGTGGAGGCAGGAACTGGGAGCCCTCACCCACTTCTGTCCCAAGAACCACCTCTTTAAGAATTCAAGCCAGCACAGTTCGAGTTGACAGCAATAACCAATCACACTAGCAGGTGTTATTAAAAGAAATTTAATAATTTTAATTAAAAACTCTTAACAGCGAATTCCGTCACAGGCCTTGGCAGCGGGAAGCAACCCCAGGGACATGTGCCCCTTTGGGATGTGGTTGAGCCATGGTCTTGGACATGAAGCCCACCATGTCACTCGGCAAGGAGCTTCCTGGAAGTTACTTTAATACAATATCAAAGATCCGCGAGGATTTTTTTTAAAAAAAGTTTTAAATATATTAGACTCTCTTGATTGCCATTTTTACACAAAGCTGCTGATACAGTATACAGAGGTTTAATTTTTTTTCACATAAAATACATTTTTCTTAAGTGTTTTCTGTACATCAGTGGCTTCTGGTCTGGTGAATTATTGCGGAGGGCTGGGGCTCTGCAGACTTCTTCTGGGTGTGCAGAGCCAGGCCCCGCACTGTGGCACTTGCAATGCCCGGGGAAGCAGGCCCTTTGGTCAACAAGACTCCTGTTGAGGAAAGGGCTGTAGCTTCTGGCAATGGGGCCCTTTGTGTGCCCTGGGGAGGGGAGGCTGTCCCCAGGCTACAAGTAGCGAGTTAGATACAGTCCTTCTGGGCATCTTGGAAGGAGCGCCCTTCTGCAAAGTACCCCAGTCACTTGCTCTGGAAGAGCAGGTGGAGAGACAGTTCAAGATCCAAAGGTATCCACCAATAACCAAGATGGTGTCATTACAAAGCCATCAAACTGGTGGGGGCAAGAACGATCCTTGTTAACTTTTTTAAGCTTCTTGAAATTGATCAAACAGTGCAGAGCAGTTTTATTAATGCTGCATATTTGATGGAAAACTAGATACTGACATTTTCAGTAGACATGAGCCTAGGTTCATTCATCTTCCCTGAGCACTGGCCAGAAACTCACGACCTGGAGATAGTCACCAATTTTCAATTGTTTAGGGCATGAGGTGGGAGCAAGGGCAAGAGTCCATTGATTGGGTGGCATCTGCTTTGGAAGTGGCTTTTAATACACCAAAAACTGTCCCTAGATCTGGGGCTCAGCAGGAGCTAGGCATCTGGTCAACCTTGCCAGGCTTCTCCCAGCTCCTTAATCCATGCCTGCCAGGGAGAGAGGCAGATTTAATAGGAAAGGTTTTCATGTTAAAAGGAGAAGCTGCTGTCCCTCCCACTAGCCGCTGATAGGGTGGGGATGGGAGTCTGTGTATAAATGGGCAAGAATCAATGACTTTAAGAACCTGAGATGCATTTGCAGCAAACTGCAACTCCTTATCCCTCTAGACACTGATCTCAAACTGCTATTATACAGTCCCCTCAAAGATCCTGGCCTAAAGTCAGCTAGCCTTGAAAGTTCTAAGGCCTGGGATGGTGTCTGCCTGGAATTCAAGATCCAATGTCTGCACTTACTGGCAAATGTTATTGGGGTGACCATGACAATGGTTTCCCAGTGAAAGGGATTCACAGTCTAAGGATTCTAGGAGCTGAAGAGCAAATGGCCATTGGACCGGCATGCAGTCACTGTTCAGGTGACTCGAATGGGACTGATGCCCAGTGGTCCTCAAGGGATGAGAACAAGAGCAGTTCTTGTCACTGTCTTGTTCCTCTTTTATTGTAGAACCTAACACAGTGCCTGGCATGTCCCAGCTTCTCAATAAACTACATGAGTGAATAAGTGATTGGCACTGGCCCATTCACTGGAGCCTGTTTCCCAGCTTGTCTTTCAATACCTTGGAGACCCACAGGAAACACAACCCAGGGACTTGAACCCTTAGCAAGGGAATGGTTTATCCCTAACTGAAAATGTGTGCTAATACCAGTCATCTCTGAAATCAGCTCCTGACAGGGTATCAGCTAGGATTCCTGGTCTCCAGGGTGGGGGGGAATGGCCCAGGAGGCAGGAAGCAAGGGTGAAGGAGAGAACGGCCCAAAGGCTCAGGGAGGGTAATAAAAGTGAAAATAAATGTCTTCACTCTCTGGCCCCTGAGCACAAAGATGGGGAAAACTGTGCCACTCTCTGCTGAGGAGCATGTGACTTCCCTAGGCATTCCCTACCGTGTAGCGTGAATCAGCTCGATAAGGATTTCAGTCTCAGACTGGGCTGAATATTGTTCGAAAGTCAAAGGCGTGTGCTAGACCACCCCCACATGCTCCAGTCATGGGCTGAGATGCTGGAGGGCACACCTCAGGTCCCAGGGGCAATGGAACATCATGGACACCTGTCTTTGGTCTTCTGAGCGACCCTTCTGTTGTACACCCTGTCTATCCTGGAGGTGGGATGGAGGTGGCCTGGTACTGACACTCTTGAGACCTCTGTGCATCCAGCAGCCACCATGGGTGCAGTTACTCCTATGGGGCCCTCTACTCTCCAGCCCAAATGCCCTGTCACCAGGTCCCTTGAGGTCCAACTCCCTCTCTGGTCTATAGGTCACAGGGTAATAGTAGGGGACTGGGACTGATGCCATTCCTAGGGTTGTGGCACAAGGCAGGGGGTCCTACAGCCCCAGTTCTCTGGCCCAGGTACCCCTCTGGGAGAATTTTCCAAAGGCTCAGAAAGAGGGTTAAAGGGAACCCAGATCTGCTTCCCAAATTAGAATCTCGACCTAGGGGGCCCCTTCAGAGCTCTAAGGAGGTAGTTTTAGGACAAATAAAAGGCGCACAGAGCAGGGAACACACCTGCGACTCGTTAGTCACACCAAAGGATTTGGCTGAGCCTATGGACAATGTCTAACTCAGATAGGTCACAGGTGACCATTTCAAAGGGGCTCATGAGGGATTGCAGGGGTGAGGTGTAGAGCTGACTGTCCCTTATGGTCCTCCCTCCCAGGACCAGGAAGACTGGGGCTATGAAACTGCAGAGCTGGGGTGAGACCCACCACTCTCCTGAATGCAGTGCAGAACATTGGCCATGGACACTATGGATTTTCAGCCTTGAGACATCACCACTCTGCAGGAGCAAGCTGGGAGCCCCTGGGCTAGGCAGAAACCCCAAGGGCCAGTGGGCAAGCTTTTCTCACTGAGCATTGCAGGAAAGACAAAGCTAGGCCCAGGGTCCTGCACAATCGTTCCACGTACACAACTGATGTGTAAGGTGGGAGGGGTGGGGACCCAGGCAACCCCTAACTATTCACTCTGAGGCTCAGTGCCAGGAGAGCTGGCTAAGATGGGCTGGACTGAAATAGTCTGAACATTCACAAAGATTGGCCATGGCACTGGGCCCTGCCATTGCTAATCAGAGATGTTTTCAGAAATTGGCTCACCCCTCTCCTTGGAAAAAGCTTTCCAATGGAAAGTTCTCACTTAGCTTCATTTTTCTAACCCCACCTAGTAAAAACTAGTGATCGTAATACTATCCGTGAGAGAAGGTGAATTCAATTTCCTCCTACATGGAGTTTAACAGCCAAAAAGATTATTTTTGTTTTTTTTTTGTTGTTTTTTCAAATCAAATGCCCTTCTGGAAATACTGACTTTGCTGCACTCCCCTCTTGAGACTTCCAAGAGCAAAAACATGATTTGGTTTATTCCAGGAGTGGAATAGCCTGGTTTTCTATCTTGGCCCCTGGATGGTCACCCAGCTGGCTCCTGACATGGGCAGGAGGGTGGTTCTCAACAAAGCTGTGGAGAGCAGGCCTTTGCCCATCTCACCTAACCCACCTGGATTCCTGGCTCCCTCTGAACACAACAGGGCTGCCAGCCCTGCCAGGTGTGAACAGCAGCCCAGACCCTGCTATGATTCTGAGCAGGACTGTGGGTCTCAGCTTAGCAGGCTCCTCCCCTGCTAAAGCCACAGTGGCAGTGGTGAGAAGACTCGAGTCATAACCTCAATCCTGGTGGGAACAGCCACAAATTCTTAGCCCCGCCTGCTTCCCAGGAGCCCAGATGTGCCACTGCTGCACATGTTGATTAAGCATGTATGTGTGTGTGGACATGTGACATGCGAGTACTGATCCAGAGAACAGAACTGGGATCGAAGCCCACTCTCTCCAAATCAGACAGCAGAGTGAGTCAGGAAGCCACATGGCCTTGTTTCAGGTGGCAGACAATGCAGCAGAAGCAGAACCATGGGACTGGTGGGGTGCCATGGCAAGGTGAGGGGTGGGGTCAGTGTTCCTCTGAAAAGCAGAGCCCACCTTCCCGCTGGCCCTCTGCTACCTCCCCAGCCATGGCTGTTGGGCTGGCCTGGATTCCAGGGACCCCTCCCCAGGGATGTCTCTCCTCTGGCACTTGGGAGACTAGGAGATGCGGCAGCAGCCATGGACCTTCTCCTCCATCTCCTCCATGGGGGCCTTGAACTTCAGGAGCGGGGGGTCTCCGCTGGTGACTGTGTAATACACCGAGGTCCCATTGCTACTGTACGGGGAAGTTCTGCCTCCAATCAAGGGGGCCTTGCCTTCACTGCTACTCTCGCCCGTCCTGGTCATACTGCTGCCCAGGTGAGTGCTCAGGAAGGGGTGGCTGAGCAGCTTGGCTGCAGCCCGCTGCCGCTTCAGCTCCAGAAGCGTCTGGGGGCTTTGCTCCTTGTAGCCACTCCAGGGTGGGGTGGCATCAGCCACACCAGGGTTGCTGTAGGCCATGGTGTAGTCGGGAACTTCGTGCACCTTCCAGACATCTCCGTTGGACAGTGCATACTGGTAGGTGCTGACCGGAGCCCGGAGGCCATTCTCAACAGGCATGTCCAGTTCGCCCCGTGGGATCTTGGTAGGAAATTCTGAGAGCAGCACGGGCTTCTCCAGGCGGGGATTCTGAGGGTGGGAAGGACAATGTTACCAGCTGGCAAGGGGAGCTAGACCTACTGCCTCTGCCGAGGGCACCTGTGCTTGCACCTGTCCTGCACCTGTCCTCCTGTGGGGAATCACCAATCCATGTTCTGGTAGAGCTGACCTGTCCCCATCCTTGATCCAGGACCAATGGAACATATTTCACTACACAGACTGGTCTAGGATAGGTAGTTAACTGAACTGCTTCAGTGGAACTCAATCCTGAACTTTTGCTAGAACAACTGAAAAAGAAATTTCTGTAGGGACTGCAGGTGATAAAAATTATGTAAGCTGGGAGGCTAAGAAAACACCACATCAAAGAGTCTGCTTACAAGTGATGGCAACATTAGTGAAGACTGAGAGAGAGAGAGAGAGGAATACCTTAAGGGTATATTTGGAGCCCCTGGATCCAGCTGGGCACATTTTTCAGTTACGTGAGCCAATAAATTCCTTTTTTGTGTATGCCAATTTTAGTGGCTTCTTTTCAGTCACTTATAACCCTTCTTCTGTGTCCTCAGTATATCTCCACTTAAATGACTGATTCTCATGCGGGGATCCTGTCTACCAATAATCACTGAATAACAAACGCTTTAAAAGTAGCTGATGCCCAGAAACTCTGATAAACTCGAAGGTAGATATATATGACAATAACAAAAGTATAAAGCATAGGAAAAAAATCAGAATAAACAAGGTAAAAAGACACAAGAAAAAACTGAAAAAGTATTTGCAACATATATTGGGTCATCAGAAAAGTCATGATGTATTTTTCTGTTTTTCTGCACAAAAATGCATCATGACTTTTCCAATGACCTAATATGAAAGAAAGGGAACTAATTTTCCAAATACATAAAGAGCTCTTAAAAATCAGGGGCCAGGGGAATCAGCAGTTAGCGTAATGGCTATGTCGCTGGACTCCCACGTAGTCGACCGCGGTTCGTGTCCCGGACCCAGTGGCTTAAAACTCATGCCGGGCGCATGTGCATGCGTGCCCAAGATCCTGAGAGGAGAATGGAGGAGAAGGGATTGCAGCGTGGCCATCCCCCCTGGGGGGTGATTTCTCGCTTTCTGTCTCTATGTCTCTCTCTGTCTGTCTGGCGAGCGCATGCGCCCTATAGTGAAAATCTCTCCAAAAATAAAAATAAAAATCAAGGGCCAGCAGATGGCATAGCAGTCACATCACTGGACTTGCACATGGCTCGATGAAGAAGTCCTAGACATTAACAGCAACAAAAAAGCAGGACTAACGAGGGTGGTTTCCAGCAACCACACCCCTACACTCTGTTCCCTGCAGTGTCAGACTTATGTGACTCCACATCAATAAGCCCTTCTGGAGGAGTCCTAGGGCCTGTGAGATCCAAACAAACACAGGAACAAAACAAACATGGAGGAGGGGTTGCTCACACAAGGCTGTAAGAATTTTTTTTTTTTTTGAGAGTTTTTTGCTATAGGGCACAAGGACTCACCACAAAGACAGAGAGAGAGACAGAGAAACAGAAAGCAAGAAATCACCCCCCCGGGGGGAGGGCCACACCACCTCCTCCATTCTCTCTCTTCTCGGGATCTTGGGCATGCACACACATGCGTCCGATGTGAGTTTAAGCCACTGGGTCTGGGATTCAAACCACAGTTGACTACATGGGAGTCCAGCAACATAGCCATTATGCCAACTGCTGGTCCCCAAGGCTGTAAGAATTTTAAGTCTTCTAGAAATCAATAAGAAATGATAAGAACCCAACAACAAAAGGCAAAAGAAAAGATGCTTTGGCCCATCCCGTGGCCTACTGCTTAAGGAGGCTGGATCCCACATGGTTCAAATCCTGGTGCCAATGGCTTAAAAACACAGCAGGTATGTGTGTGCCCCAAATCCTGATGGGATGGAGAGTCTGAAGAGAAGGGAAAGCAGATGACAACTCTCCCCTGGGGGTGTTTTCCCTCTCTCTCTCGCTGTCTCTCTGTGGTAAGTGAACATACCCTCTCGCAAAATGGAGAAGAAAAAAAAAAAAAGATAGTTTACAAGAAGGGATAAGCAAGTGGCCGATAAGCACATGAAATACATTCAACATTACACATCGTCAGGTAAATACACATTTCAGTTGTGAACTATCAGAGCAATCCCACCAGGATGGCTCAAGTTAAAAAGGACTGACTATACCTAGAGCTGGGAAAAAGTACTCCACCAACCTCTGTCTTCATAAAATCTTGGCAGATTTTTCACAACACTCTGCCCTGTTAGTCATCAAACCAGACTGCTGATGGGAGACCAGAGAGGTCTGGAAAACTGCTCATTCTTGTCTAGGAAAGCTAAACCTATGCCTACCCCGCCACTCATCCTGCGTTCCTGGGCACATACCCAACACGAAACAGCGCTCGTGCCTCCCAAGAACAAGGACGAGAACGTTTAGTGGAATTCTACTCATAATAGCCCCAAACCTGAAAATGGCCCAAAGTCCACCAACAGGAGGAGGCTAATGTAAACTGTAATATCCAGACAATAGAACTGTCCAGAGCAGCAAGCAAGAACAAGCTACTGCTGTGTGCCTCTGTGTGGGTGACCTCACAGACAATGCCAGACTGCATGAGTCCATTCACGTACATATGCAAACCTAGTCTTCAATGCTCATAATTAAACAGTGGTCGCCTTTGGGGTGAGGAGAGGGAACTGACTATGACAGAGACCACTGGAGCCTCCCCGAGTGATGGAAATGCCCTATCCATTCATCTGAGTGTACACAGAAGTCTGAAATCACGGTGTGCAAAGCCTTTGTAACACTCATTTAAGACTTGGTGTACTCTGGGGCCAGGTCGCAGTGCAGTGGAAACACAATGGGACTCTTGCGGGAAAGGTCCTAGGGTAGTGTCTGGGGACCTCCCTGAGCCTGCCAGGCACACGTGCATTTGCCTGCGGTTCAGGCCAGCTGAGACTGGAGGTGGGGACTTGTCTCTGTCTCAGCTGTGGAACTAACAAATAAACCTAAAAAGATTTGTTCACTTTACTGTACATGGGTTACACCTCAATCACAAAGAAAAGCATAGAGCATAGCTGGGAGGCATTTGAAGTACGATTTGTTTGCAATCCACAACTCTCTTGTCCCCAACCCTTGAGCTTAGGAATGAGGCAGAATAAAGCTTCCATGTATGCTGTCTCTAGGCCCAGCTAAACGTTCTGTTGGGGATCCTCCTGCTCATGGCCCACCCGGTGGGGCCCCTGTGCTCACCCTGGGAAGCAGGGTCCCACTGAGACATGTGGACATGCTGGGCAGCTCACCATCCTACATTCACCAGAGCTGTATTTTCAAAACATCTTCATCTGTCTTTGTGTGGGGAAGAGCCAAAGAGACAGCCCCTGTTGGCACAGTCAGCTCTTCTTCCCTGCCCTCAGCAATTCCGTTCAGACCCCAAACTTGCTCACCCCACTCAACAAGACTATAGTCGTGGGACCAACAGTTAGCATAATGGCTATGTCGTTGGACTTCCACATAGTCGACCGCGGTTCGAGTCCCCGACCCAGTGGCTTAAACTCACACTGGGTGCATGTGTTCTGATAAGCATAATTCTCAACATCTTGTCATTATTGCCCCCTTCAAAAGTATCAGTGCTAAGCTCCTGGGGTGACCCCACTAAACCTCTCTCTGGGAAGCCTAGAGCTTGATCTCCTGGAGCACAAGCAGGCACGTGGTGGCCCCTTGCTCCCTGTCAGACCCTCCTGTGTGTTGAAGCTCCCAGCTCTGAATCTAACACACGCTAGGGCCACCTCATGAACCATGGCAGCCACTGTCATCAGGTGGGACCCAGCTGTCCTAAGGGCCTGGCTGCTTCCCTCTGAAGGCTCTCAGATGAAGAGGTAAGACCTGGCTACGGCCTTGGCTTCTTCCCAAGGCAGCGGCTGACACTGGGGGAGGGCATGAACACTCACTGGGTCCTTATTCTCTTGGTCTGTTCTGGTCTCTCTGATGTCCCCGTTGTAGGCTGAGGTCCGCTGGTCCTCGGCAGCACTTCGCTGCTGCCACAGTATGGCCTCTCCCTCGTACTCCTTTCTGTACAGGTTGGTCCTGTCCGACAGGCTGGCTCGACGCACCACCTTCCTGAGGGGACAGAGGGGGTGCTGGGAGGCTGCGCCCAGGCGCCCTGGCAGGAGCAAGCACGAGGACCCCTGGCTATCCTGTCCCTGACTCACCCACGGCTGCCCGCGCTCGATGTCCTCCGGCTCAAGGATGACTTGTGCCTCAGCTGTGACTTCATGATCACGTCGTGCTTGTGTTTGAGCTCCAGCAGCAGGACCTTGAATTCCTCCTCTTCACACAGGTCTGAGGGGCAGAAGAGGCAGTTGTGAGGGGCTAGGCAGGAGCTGTGGTCCAAGAGGGTACTCCAGACCAGAGGAGCTGCCACCCCAGCCCACTGAAAACCCAAGCATCTTTTGGGGCATTCAGGGACAAGAGGAAACAATGCCAGCTTATTTCCTGGGCTGCAGCCCATCCCTAGAGAAATATAAGAATGGGAAGCCCAGGTTCCATACCCAGTCATAACTCCTAAGTGTCTCAGCTACAACTGAGAGATTCATACTCTTCTTTGGTAGTTTCCAGAGTCATCAACTCTCCATTGATATGAGAAGTATCGAGAGAAACAAGCAGGTAATCCAAGCAAGATAATTTGCAAAGATGCTGAGAAATCCATCCATACCTACCTACTCAATCCATCTAATCCTGTCATCCATCTATCTGCCCATCTACACCCAGTCAACTATCCATAGATTATCCCTCTGTGCACTCATACATTTATCCATCCACACACCCACCTATCCACCTATCCACCTATCTGCACATCATCACATGTACCTAGGTATCCCATCCATTCATCCATCCAACAATCTACCTTTCATTCACCTACTGATTCATCCATTTATCTATGTATACGCCAACCCAACGGCCTATACCAACAATCTTTTCTACCCCTCCTCCCATAAAAACATTGATGACTGGCCCAGGCATAGTGGCACACACTGCCAACATGCTGTGCTCTGCAGGCTGGGACCACATGGAAGCCTAGGTTCAATTCCTGGTTCAACCTAAAGACTGAACAGAGTCATATACACCTATAACCTCAGTAACTTGGGAGGCTGAGGCAGGAAGATAACAACCGTAAGATGCTGCATTAAAAAGAGAGAGAAAGGGAACCAGCAGTTAGTGTAATGGCTATGTCGCTGGACTCCCACATAGTCAACCGTGGTTCACGTCCCGGACCCGGTGGCTTAAAACTCACGCTGGGCGCGTGTGCGTGTGTGCCCAAGATCCCGAGAGGAGAATGGAGGAGAAGGGATTGCAGCGTGACCATCCCCTCTGGGGGGGGGTGATTTCTCGCTTTCTGTCTCTATGTCTCTCTCTGTCTGTCTGGCGAGCGCACACGCCCCATAGTGAAAATCTCTCCAAAAGAAAAAAAAGAGAGAGAAGAAGAAAGAAGAGAAAAAACTGATGACTGCCTAAATATGTACCAGGTATTGTGATGGACTTACCTATTGGCATCTCATCCATGGATGTCCTAGCACTGAGACTAGCCCCGTGGGACACCAATAGCTCTGCCATCTGCATCTGAAATGTAGGAAAAGCCCATGTTCCCTCTGCCCAGAGCACAGAGAGCCCAAGAGGTGGAGCAAGTACCCAAGGCCTCTTAGGCTGTGACCCAAAGAATGATGAGACTAAGTTGATTCCCAGCGAAGGTTCTATACCCTGGAGCCATGCTGAGAGGTGGGGGGAATTCTGGCAGGTGCAATGGGCATGGCAACTGCTCCAGCATGCCTGGGCCACACCCAGGGAGAGGAGAAAGAGGAAGAGGCCATAACTCTAGGGCTGTCCGATATCCAGCAGAGACTGTATAAGCTGTAGTCAGAGTTTTATATATAAAAACAAATGAGGAACTACTCAAAGTAGAAATGCTAGAAATTTTCTAAGTTGGCAAATTTGATTATCATTCTATTAAGACACAAATTGTCAAATGTTTGTACAAACTCCCTAGGCCTTGGGCTGGCCCTGTGGTGAGGTGGTTAAGTACTAGAATTTGGAAGTCAAATCCCACATGGCCAACTGCAGTTTGAATCTCAGCCCAGCAGCTTGCAAAACATGCTGGTTGTGTGCTCATCCATGCCCAAGATCCTGATGGAATGGAAAGAACAGGAAAAAGAACTGTAGTGTGACCAAACCCCACTGTGGGGGTATCTTCTTTCCTTCTCTTTGGCAAGCACATATGCCCTCTGGCAAACAAACAAACAAACAAAAAACAAACAAAAAACAAACAAACAAAAAACTCCCTAGGCCTGTTCATATCCTACATACTGGCTGAAGTCAACACCATAAGCAGATCCTGTGTTTTTTTGAACCACTGCCAGCCCAAAGGATTAGGTGACAGCTGCTTAACCATGTGCTAGCCTCCTCTCCAGCCACGTAGGTGGGAATTACCTGTCCCCAGAAGGCAGCGGCGTGCAGGGGCTCCCAGCCATCCCAGTCCTTCACATCCACACGCACTCCGTGGTCCAGGAGGAGCTCGGCTGCCCGCAGATATCCATTGGCTCCAGCTATGTGCAGCTGGAGGAAGACAGAAGTGAGCCTTCCTAGAGACTGGCCCACATTCAAGGCAGGATATCCCTGACCCACCCAAGACCTAGAGCATCCTGGAGGCCAGTAGAATGGAACAGAATGAGGTGGGAATACCAGCCAAAATGCAGAGGATTATTAAGTCTGAAGTATGGGCGTGGAAGGGATAGATAAAAGGTGAACTCTTCTCCCCTGAGATTGGTGTAGAGTCCGTATGATTAAGGCAACAGCATTTACTTAGCTTCCTACTGTGTCTGAGTCCTGGAGAAGGGGTCTTGAGGTCCAACATGGTGGTTTTTTAATTTACAAATTCTTTCCTTTTAAAGATGAAGGAAAGCAGGAGATCATTCCTGCTGG